GGGTTTCACCATGTTGACCAGGATGGTCTCGATCTCTTGACCTCGTGATCCACCCGCCTCGGCCTCCCAAAGTGCTGGGATTACAGGCTTGAGCCACTGCGCCAGGCTAATTTTGTATTTTTTAACTTTTTTATTTTGAAATAATCATAGATTCACAGAAATTTACAGATAGGGTAGAGATGTCATAAGTACCCTTTACCCAGTTTCTCTAATGGCTTCATCTTACATTATTTTAGGACAATATCAAAGTCAGAGATTTGAATTTGATAAAACGTGTGTATATAGTTTTATGTTATTTTGTCTATTAAATAGATTTGTGTAATCAACATCAAAATCAAGATACAGAACTCTTCCATCCACAAAGATCTCCCTAATGCTACTCTTTTATAATTATGCCCATGTCCTCCCACTGCCGTGCCTGACTCTGACAACCATCAATCTGTTTTCCATCTCTATAATTCTGTTCATTTCGAGAATGTTATATAAAAGGAATTATATATCATATGATATTTTGGAGTGGCCTTAAAAAACAGGATAATGTCCTTGAAATACATTCAAGTTTTGTGTATCAGTAGTTGGTTTCTATTTCTGAATATTATTCCATGATAGGAATGCACCACAGTTTGTTTAACCATTCACCTGCTGAGGTCATTTTGGTTATTTCCAGTTTTTGACTATATGAATAAAGCAGCTATAACCAATAGCGTGCAGGCTTCTGTGTGGACATGAGTTTACATTTCTCTGGAATAAACACTCAAGAGTGCAATTTCTGGATTCAATGCTAAGTGCGTGTTTAGTTTTAAAAAGCCTGCCAAATTGTTCCCTGGAGTGGCTGTACCGTTTTAAACTCCTACCGGCAATGTATGAGAGATCCAATTTTTCTGCATCCTCATCAGCATTTGATGTTGTCATTACTTTTCACTGAACTGCTCTAATAAGTGTATAGCGATATCTCATTTTGTTCTTAATTTGTTTTTCCCCAATGGCTACTGATGATGAACATGTTTTCATGCGCTTATTGACCATCTGCTTATTATCTTTGGTGAGGTACCTATTTATGTCTTTTGCTCATTTTCTAATGGATTGTTTTTGTTTTTGTTGTTGAGCTTTGAGAGTTATAGATATGAACCCTTTGTCATCGATGTAGTTTGAACAGATTTTTTCCCAGTATGTAGCTTGCCTTTTCATCCTCTTAACAGAATCTTTCTTAGAGCAAAGCATTTTCATTTTAAGTCTAATTTATTCAGTTTTTGTTTTGGGGATTATGATTTTGGTGTCATGTCTAAAGATGCTCAACAAAACCCTAGGTCCTAAAGATGTTCTCCTAAGTTAACGTCTAATATTTTTTATGGCTGTACATTTTACACTTCGATTTGTGATTAATTTTCAGTTAATTTTTGGATAAGGTGTAAAGTGCAGGTAGAGGTTCATTTTTTAACCGTGGATGTCTAATTACTGTGACTCTATGTGTTGAAAAACCCTATCCTTCCTTCATTAAACTTCTTTTATACCTTTGTAAAAAATCAGTTGGTTATAGTGCATGGCTTTATTTCTGAGTTTTCTATTCTGTTCAATTAATCTTTGTGGATCAAATGATCCTCAGCCAACACCCCGCTGTTTGATTGCTGTGACTACATAAGTCTTTAAGTCATGGAGAGTGACTACTCACACTTTATTTTTCTTTCTTCAGAATTGTTTAAGCTCTTCTAGTTAATTTGCTCTGCTATATAAATTTTAGAATAGGCCCAGCATGGTGCTGAACACCTGTAATGCAGCACTTTGGGAGGGAAGCTCAAGAGTTCAAGACCAGCCTGGGCAACATAGCAAAACCCATCTCCAAAAACAAACAAACAAACAAAAAAACACAAAAAAACCAAGAAAACTAAAAGATTAGCCAGACGTGGTTGGGCAAGCCTATACTCTCAGCTAGTCGGGAGGCTGATGTGTGAGGATCGCTTGAGTCTGGGAGGTTGAGGCTGCAGTGAGTCGAGATTGCACCAATTGCACTTCCGCCTAGGCAACAGAGTAAAACCATGTCTCAAAAAACTTTTTTAAAAGTGTAATCTTGTCGATGTCTCCATAAAAATCTTGCTAGTATTTTGACAGATGTTGTGTTAAACTAGTATTTCATGTTGGAGAGAACTGATATCTTTAAGTCACACAGTCAATATGGTATGCCTCTCCACTTATTTAGATCTTCTCTTTTGTTAGTTTTCAGCATAACAGTTCTGAATGTGTTTTATTATATTTTATTTTTATTGAGCTATTGTAAAGGGTGTTGTGCTTTTACATTTGGTTCCCCATGTTTACTGCTGATGTGTACAAATACAAATGCTTTCTGTATATTGATCCTACATCTTATAACTTTGCAGAACTCACTGAAGAGTTCTATACGGCATTTTTTTTTTTTTTTGGTAGATTCCTTGGGAATCTCTATGTGGACTACTATGTCACCTGCGCATGGACCAGTTTATTTCTTCATTTCCAATTGGTGTAACTTTTATTTCCTTTTCTTACCTTATTGCTCTGGGTAGAACTTCTAATATGTTGAATAGCAGTGGTTACAGTGAACATCCTTGCCTCTTTCCTGATCTTATGGGGAAAGCATTTCTCCCATT